TGAATAGTGAAGAGTTCCTGCCCTTCCAGAGCGTAAATTGAATAGGGACAACCCCACCTTGTCTTTGTAGCAGTGGTACTAGTACTAGTCGTAGTCGTAGTAGTCGTCGCCGCCGTCGTTGTCGTAGTAGTAGTGGTCGTGGTCGTGGTCGTGGTGGTAGTAGTAGCAGTAGCAGTATAGCGCAAGCAGTCGTAGTAGTAGTAGTAGTAGTAGTCGTCGTCGTCGTCGTGGTGGTGGTGGTGGTGGGAGTAGTAGTGGTAGTAGCAGCAGTAGTAGCAGTAGCAGCAGCAGCAGTAGTAGTCGTGGTGGTCTACTACTACTACTACTACTACTACTACTACTACTACTACTCTGCCTACGCCTACGCCTACTCCTACGCCTACTCCTACTCCTACTCCTACTTCTGCTGCTACTACTACTACTACTCCTTCTCCTCCTACTCCTGCCCCTACTCCTTTGTACTCCTACTCCGACTGCTGCTGCTGCTGCTACTGCTGTGTTTTTTGTTTTTGGTACTACTACTACTGCTACTACCATGGTTGCCGCCATCACCACATATGAAGACCGCCGCTGGTAGATCATACGATTTGCTGTTGGGATCATGATTTTCGTACCAGTTCTTTTTTCTACCTCTAAAAGAGGCTAAACAATGTTAAACATGTAAACATTATTTTAAAGGGAAGCAACACCTGAATGAACACTAGACAAGTAAGCTCAGATTACTATAGTGCTCCAAGTTTGTGCATTCTTCCGACCCCAATAATTCACTTCCTCATCTGGGTTTGAATACTCCCCCGTTGAGAAAATGCTTGGAGCAACGATTTCGATGTGTCTTAACGATGGTATTTGAAAACGGCTCTCAGGTCAGAGTTCACGGACGCAAACAAAACCGCTCAAGAGGTTTAACAAGGATCTGAAAGAGAAGCGACAACGAAACAGTAGAAAACTAAACCTCGCGTTAAACAACGCCCTGGGCAAAAAATATTCCGACCCCCACTAAGTATTCAGTGTGTGGAAATTGTTTCAGGAACTCCTCCTATATTGTCCTATTTTTTCATCCCCTTGACCATTTGGAATTGAACAGTATGTGTATAGATTTGTACCCCGTCTATGAACGTGTTGTGATGCAGAACAATCAAGATCAAATGTCATACCACAAAGCCGTTTTGTCACGGGATTTGAGTTTATTCGTGTGTTTTTTTTGCAACGAGGAGTGTTAATGCGCTGCCGCGTGCTAATCGTTATGATTCTGCCAAGACCTTGGTCGTTTGATGCCATTTTCCTGCAAACTTGAATCCTTGGAGCAATTTGCAAGGTCTGCTCTTGCTGGGGGATTTCTAAACGCCAGCTTCTCAGGTTGTTCACAACGTTATTTTCAGCATGGCTACTTCTACTTGAAGGGGCAGAACCAGAGATCAACCCGCCTTTTGAGCATGCATTCCTTTCTGCCCAGGTTAAACATTCCATACATTCGGCACTGTTTCTGGCCCTTTAGCTGCGTGGGGAGCTTGGGAATGAACATACTGTGAAAATAGCAGTCTTTTCGTTCCGGAAAGGAAAAACAAATCGAAAAGGATCGAATAGCAGGTCTGGCAGCCTGAGTGACCATACCGTCGGTAAGCTGAGGCCTTTGCAGAGCAGCAGCTCCGCCGGAAGGAACGGAAACTGTGAAACAGAGCTGAAACAAAGCAGGGGTCCTTTTATAATCTTTTATAAGCTACTAGGAACAAGTGCATCGCTTCTAGTAACAAGTGCTTTACTAGTAGTAACAAGAAGCCATTAGAAACAAGTGCATCGCTTCTAGTAACAAGTGCGTTACTACTAGGAGCAAAGGACGCTAC